AGCCCCACCCGAGCCGGCCCTCCTTTCCCCAGAGCCGCTTCTGTCCAGAAAATCAGCTCTGAGGTCCCTGGGAGGAGCAGACGCCCCCCCCACACGCCCCCGAGTCTCCCCTAGTCTGTCCGGAGCAGTCAGTGCTGGAGGGCGGGGCGGGGCTCGGAGGCTGCCACTGCAGACATCTGCTGTCTCCCCTGCACAGCGCTGCCCCCTCTAGTGCAGCTTCCCAGCCTGCCTCTCAAGGCGCGCCCCCAGCAGCACCCCACTTGCTGTGGCGAGCAGTGGAGGCTGGGAGCCTGGCGGAGGAGGTCGTGCCGCAGGTCTGTTTCTGCTGTCTCCACCCAAGTCTCCTTTCCTGACAGAGACTGTCTCTGCTTTGGCCCTCTTCTCCCCTTGGGGTGTGGTAGGAGTGGGGGTGCAGTGGGAGTGTAGAGGTAGGCGGGCTGGAAATGGAGGGAGCATTGCCCAGCCGATGGCGGCATGTCTGTTTCACTCGCCTCCCCTCTCCCTTCCAGAACCGATTTCGGCTTCTTTCCCCCTCTCTTCCCGTGGGGGGTCTCGAGTGGCAGGGCCTGCGTGGCCCCGGGGAGGGCCGCACAGTCCCCTGGACGCACTTGGTCTGGGACACTCCGCGCGGCCTGGCGAGGAGCTCCAGGGCCAGCTGGGAGCGGAGTGCACAGGAAATAGGGGCACCCAGGGGGGGGGTGCAGACAGACTCCGAATTCCAGGTGTCCGAGGAAAAGCCTCCCCGCCCCTGGTGTGGGACGCACCCCGACACCCGGCCACGGGCGGGTCTGTCCCCCCCACTTTAGAGCCCACATAATCAAATTTCTTTGTTCCCGACCCTGATCCCCTGAAACCCCATAACTTCATCTCCTGTTCATCTCCTGTCCTAGTCGTGCAGGGAGATTCTAGCTCATCTCCTTCTCCTTGGCAAGTGATTTGCAAAGAAAGCTGATTTATGGAATATAAGACACGTTGGGCAATCTGAGCCGGGGGTGGGGGACAAGGACCTTCAGGTGGTGCCCAGGGACCCCCTTTGGAGGGGTGATGGTGGTTGCCATGGTCACCTACTGCAGACACCTAAACTGGACGGTGGAGTGAGAAGGGCTTGGGGCAGGGAGCAGGTCCTCGGCCAGCCCCGCGCGCCCACGTTGGCCTTCCCCTGGCGGCTGTGAGCCCTCTGCCGGGTCTTCATGCGGGGGCCGCCCCTGCCTCAGCTCAGAGGCGCGGGGCAGGGCTCCGGGAGCCTCTGCCGGGCTTGAGCGGAGGGTCCAGAGGCCCTAGGAATTGGGTGTCTGCTACCGAGGCCCCAGGACCAGGGTCTGTCCCAGCGTGTGTTGGGGGGAGGGGAGGGTTGGGGGGAGGGGTGAGTCAGCAGGCTAGCCACACCCTGCTTTTACTGAGGCTCCCCAGCCACACCCTCCTGCCCACTGCCGCCCGCTGTCCCTGGCTGAGCTTCAGCGGCCTGGGGCCTGGGCTGGGCCTGGGCTGGGGGTCGGGGTGTCTAGGTCCCAGGCTGGAGCACCTGAGGGGAGGGGCAGGCCTGGCTGAG